TACTTCTCTTTTTTAGAATTCCAAGATGAAAAGTGTCCTGAGGAAATTCCTTTGTTTAACAGAGGTATTAGTAGAAAGGAAAAAGCCCCTGTGTGAGAACACAATTAATAATCCTATTGGAGGTCAACGGGTCATACGTGTCACAAAATAATTTGAGTGTCAGATTGAGAGATCAGATCCAACCCTTTAATTTTATAAATGAGAAAACAGAATCAGAGAGATTAAATAGTTCACCCAGAGTCACTCAGCTGGTTACTGAGAAGCAGTGTGTCAGAATTTATTAAGAACATTTTATTGCTAACTGGGTGATCTCCAGCAAATTTCTTAACCTCTCTGGGCCCCCTTGCCTTCAATGGTATAATGAGTAAAACCTAAAAATATGGTTGTTGGAAAGATTGGCATATATATTGCATGGGTAACACACGGGCAAGCTTTCACGGGGCCTCGTGTCTTCCTGAGACCCAGAGAGGAAATCCCTTGCCAAATAGAGAAATAAGCGAGTGCAGACTGTCATCATTGCAGGAAAACGAATGCTGCCAGCTGTAGGCAGGGAACAAGGGGTATGTGGAGTTGTTCTAGCAGTTTGTGTCCCTAAGAAGCTAAACGCTTTCATATTCTTTCAACATACATTTATCGGGCACTTAATGAGGCACGGGTACTGTTCGCAGTGCCGGATACACAGCAGCGAACAAAACCCAAAGTGTTTATGGAGCTTGCATTCCGGTGAAGGGGAGGGCGACCATAAACAAACAAAGAAGAAAATCAGATGATGTGTTAAAATGGGATAACTGCTCTGGAGGAAAGGAGGCAGGGAAAGGTAACAAGGAGTTATTGGGTCTGGGGAGGAAGATAAGATGCATTTTAAGTCAGATGATCAAAGAACACGAGGATCCTTGAGCAAACCACTTTGGAGCTGATTGTTTCACAAGGGAGGGACTATCTCTCTCAGAAAGATGTGAAAATCCCGGCGTCCAGTGCATTGAGAGTCTTATCTGCAAGAATATGTATCACAGCTTTATTTTTATAATGGCAAGAAAACAGAAATAACATAAAGCCCCAACTGAAGAGTTTGTTAAATAAAATATGGGTGGGAAAAAATTACATAATCTTTTAAAATTGTGTTGTGAAAGAAAATTTAACGACATGGGTGTGTGCTGTATGGCTTCAAAAATATATATGCCATATGTTCCCGCTTTCTTCAGTAAATTTTCTCTCAGATGAGAAACAGTGCAATGGTATTTCATAAAGTGTTGATAGTATCAAGGAGATGTGACGGAGATTTTTAACTTTTTAAAACTTTTTCCCCTGCATTTTGTAGTAGAATCGAGTATTGACCTGTGGTAAATAATAATACTAATGCTAACTGTATAAAAAGTAAAATAATTAAACTGAAAGAATCTACAAACTGCACTTTGAGAAACATCTTCATAAGATGTGGAAATAATGTTTATCAAATTTAAAGATCATATGATCCGAAACGATGAGTTAACACAGTGCGTGAAGAAGCAAAATTAGAAGTTGTTTTGACAGACCAGAACAAGGACCAAATATATTAAGATGGACTTTATTAAAAATAAATTTGAAATCTCCATTTAGGCTTTAAAAAAAATCGGTTAAAGACGTACCGAGCTGGGGGATCCATTCAACAGCAGCTCATGCAAGGAAGGACCTGAGTGTGTTAATGACCACAACTCAACATGAGCTCACAGTGTGACACAGCTGCTTAGAAGCTAATCAATTTTTGCATTAATTAATATGCTTCTGGTGTCAGCACTGGGAACATAAGTGATCCTCCGTGGACTACATTGGTCAGTGAAAACTGGGGGATGAAACACTGTCACTGCGTCTTGCTTTTGTCCTTCACAGCACGACTCATGCTTGCGACTCACTAATTTATGCAAGTGCTGGCTGAACATCTGTGGTCTCTGCTGGCCTATAAGCTCCCTGAGGGCAGGCAATGTACCTTCACCGCTTACTGCTTTATCTCCGGTGTCTAATGTCGACACAAAAAATTGGAGCCCGCTGTTTTAAATATTGCCAGTTTCAGTAGCCTCATTTATTTATTCTATTTAATAACACTTATATTGTGTTCATATGTGCCAGGCATAAGTCTAAGTCCTTTACAGACACATATTAATTCGTTAATCTTCATTACAACCATGTGAGGCACGCAGATAGGGATGCTTGGGTAGAGAGAGGTTAAGAAATGTGCCCAAGCTGGGAAGCGGCTAAAATCTGAACCCAGACACTCGACACTCTGCTGACTTTCAAAAACACAACTCTGAAAAAAGCTGTGTCTCATCTGTATGAGGTTGACCAGGAAAAGGATTCTAAGAAACACATCATATTGAAATGTTTGAAAGAAATGGACCGATACAGGCTAAAAACAAACCAAGAAACAGAGGTGATAGGATCATTTGACTTCAAATTGGGAAGAGCTTCGGTGTCTGGGTGGCTCTGTCAGTTGAGCGTCTGACCCTTGATTTCAGCACAGATCATGATCCCAGGGTTGTGGGATTTAGCCCCGTGTTTTGGGCTCCACGCTGAGCACAGAGCTTGCTTACTATTCTCCCTCTCTCCCTCTGCCTCTCTCCCCACCTCGCATGCTCTCACTCCCTCAAATAAAAGAATAATAATAATAATAAATATATAAAATATAAACTCTTATTTAAAAACAAAACAAAAAAATAAATTTGCAAGCACTTCCATGTAAAATGATGAAAGTGAATGAAATCCCCTATGTTTAGGGGAATGAAATCCCTTATGCCTGCATCCCAAATTACCCGGGCAGTTGTAGCAACACAATTATGAACAACATTCTCTTTCACTCTCAAAATATTCTAAGTTAGACAATCAATTATTATCTTCTCCCCAAGTATATGGCTTAAAAGAAGATTCTACATCATTTGGACATTGATCTTTACAAAAGCCCTGTGTAGTTGATTGATATCAATATTATTATACTATTCCCCATTCTACATCCTGAACAAAACCTACAGAATTGTTCCAAAACACAGCACCAGTTAGTGGCAGAGCTGTGGTTTGAACCCAGATAATCTGATTCAAACTATACACTCTTCTCTGTCTGCTCGGTTGAGTAACTGAACTTGCTCTGTATTGCTACAGAATCTAGCAATTCTAGATTCAGAATCCTAGCTCTGCAGCTAGGATAAGTAGGTAGAAGTTCCTAAGAAAAGATTCATCCCCAAATGAAGTACCACATTTTAAAAACTGAATGAATGAACTTCCTAATCAATCAGAAACTTACTGGAAACTGCCCAAGCCCGGGACTGAATGGGCATGGGGCGAGTGTTTTTACCAAGGGCACCGCATGTACCAATACAGACCTGTGAGCTTCTCAGAATGTGGGACATCAATTTCTGGTGGGCAATGAACCATTAGCAGATCATGAGATAATTTTCAACACTCTATGGACACAGCATTCAAAATCACTAATATGCCTAATGAGACCTTTTGATTCCCTTTTCAATTATAGTTTTAATCCATCCACTACTACCTAGGAGAAAGCCTCAGATTGGTGCTGATATACCTTTAATACTACTCAAACATGCTAACCCACTTTTTGACCAAGAGAGTAGTAGGTTCTAAGCTTTCAGAGGCAATGATAGCCATTCAACTAGATCTGATATTATTGTTCTATCTCCACTGAATTTATTTTGGTTTTGGATTTCCTTTTATAGCAGTGCTATAAATTTTACTTTTAAAAATAAATCTACATAAATAAGTCAGTCAACCTAAGTAAAAACATTAGCTGGTTTATATTAAAATGTATGGTAGGGAGAAAAACAGACCCTCCCCCAAAGATGTCTATATCCTAATCCCCAGAATTTATGTATATGCTACTTTATATGGAAAAAAGGAAAAACTTGCAGATGGGATTCAGGTTAAGGACTTTAGGATGCGGAGATGATCCTGGATTATCTGAATGTGCCTGGTCTAATCACTTGAGTCCTTAAGAACAGGAAACTTATCAGCTGTGGTCCGAAAGAGACAGGAGGACAAAAGAGGGGCAAAGAGATGCAATCCTTTGGCCCCTGCTTTGAGGATTATGGAGGCAGGCCATGAGCCAAGGAATGGGAATGGTCTCAAAGATACAAAATGCGAGGACGTGGATCGTCTCCTGGGGCCTCCAGAAAGTAACACAGCCCTGCCAAACCCTGATTTGAGCTTATGAAAGTCATGTCCAAATTTTGACCTACAGACATAAAAGACAACAAATTTGTACTGTGGAAACCATCAATTTTTTGAATTTTTTTTTTTTTTTACAGCAGCAAAAGGGAACTAAAATACAAGGGTATAGGGATAGGTAACGATTGTGAGAATGTTTGAACAACTGAAGTTTAGAAAACAATCCTTCAGGATGGTTTATAAATGTCTCTTCCAATCCCGAGATGTTCTGCTAACATTCTGTCACCTACCAGATTTCTGTTCCTCCCAATAGGTAATTTAGTGTTTCCTGTGCTTTCATAGACATTCCAAAAAGTAACTTAAAAACAGTGAGAATTATTCATGTGAAAAGAAATCTTGGTTGGGAAAAGTGCAGTCGTTTTTAGGGATGTAGTGTTGTATGTAGAGATGTATGTATGACAATCTCACTTACAATCACATTATCTTTATGTGAATTCCCTTGATGTCGAGAGTTATCCACTTGTTCTACACTAGTGAGTTTTATTATGTATGTACCACAATACTTTTCTTTAAAATATATATTGGGTATTCTCAATTTATAGATTAATCTAAGGAACTTTCTGCTCTACTTGATATGAAAAGCAATCAAACTGCCCCAATAAAACAGAAGTTGAATTTGATGGCATATGGTTAGTCAGTGTTACATTGCAGGAGAAACCAATTAGATTTAACCAAGTCTATTCACTCCAAGGTATTTTGTTCTGCCATTCCAAAAATTCACAGCCTACAAACTCATGTTTAATTACATTAGTACATGACATATATGGTTCATGCAATAATTAACCACTTACCATTCATCCTTTCTCTTTTGACTTGATGACACATGTTGAGATATATGAAAATGTCTTCAGGAGAGAAATAAGGGTTAATAAAAGATGGAGGGATATGTGCACACTCCACATAGTGTGATTGATTATATGTTACACATGTAATCTGTAGGCTGGTAAAGCAGGACATGCGTATAGCCTGTGAATACATAATCAGAGTCATTAAAAGAAAGTTTGCCATCTCACAATGTTAATCAAATGCTATTTGACCAATTTGCTTCCAGCAACTAATGGAGCAAATTGATGTCAGCTAATCTTAAATCTACAGAGGAGCATGTTCTGGAATTGGAGTTGTTCTTTTTTTTAATTTTTCATCTTTCTTAGGCTGAATTCATTTATCTTAAAGAAATGTATTTGAATGCTAATGCCATTGAAATAATACCTGAGAGCAGATTTGAAAATGGCAAGTTATAATTTATTGTGGCTATGGAGGAGTGGAATGGTCACAAGATCTCCAAAAATGCCTGTTATGACGTGGTCAGAAAAGTGTTGCCAAGGACACAACTCTGATTCATCATCTTCAGGGTACTACAGTACCATACTTCACTCACAGGCCACAGACCGAAATAAGAATGGAAAATTGATCTTTTCCCCTGAAAAATAATTTAATCAATTTCTGGACTTAATTTTAAAAAGAAAATGTCAGACTCTTTTAGTCGAGAGTGATTTGACTATGTATTAGCCCTGATCCATATTATTGGGAAATACACATTGAACCGTTCACATGATACAAAGCTAACTGAATTTTTGTGCTTTCACCACTAAGAACAATGTAAAATATCCTTTTTCTTGTTTTTTAATATGTGTTATTCCTGACCTAAGTAGAAATTCCTTTGAAGTCATTTGGCATTGTTTTAGAATAGAGCTAATATTACCAGAATCCTGGGTTCTAGCAAATCATTAATTAGTTGATAATTGATATGGATTCACTGCAGGAATCTTCCAGATTACTTCTAAACCCTTAAATAGTCAAACTTTGTAAAATATGCTTGTATATCTATCGCCTCTTTCTAAAATATGTCCAGTTTCAGATAGAACACAAGCAACTTGATAAAATCACCCAACAGTGTCCCACCTTCACCCAGTTGATGTATTGTAACAACACCAGACTCTCATTCCCTGAAAGCAGGAGCTGTCTGTCTGGAGTTGTAAGATAGAGACGGTGCTTCTTGTTTTACTGAAGTATCCTTAGTGGATAGTGTCAGTGAAATTCTATGTATGCAGTTGTTTTACATAGGTTCGTAACCTATTCTCATCAGAGAATAGTGTTTGTTTTATATTTAAAGAAAAAAGAGTTGAGTTGACTATAAAGTGAGGATGGAAACATCTTCTCAAGGCCTATAATAATAAAATGCTTTTAGCTCAAAGACCAAAACTCAATTCTCTTAGATGTCTGCTTTTTCTCCATCTCTGTCAAGTATCCTTGGTCCCAGGAGTGAGGCTATACTAGTTGGCGTGGGGAAAACCTGGTCCAATTGTATATTTTGGTTAAACATGAAATTGGGAAATATGTTAAGTGTTGAGGTCCTGACTAGAATCAAGGGACCCTTTATACTAGTTTCTCATTACCAATATAGAATGTACACCTGCCTCAATAACCAAGTTTTTTCATAGACAGCACAATACTCAGACACACATATTTGATGTTTCGATTTATGTCATTTTGAAGTATTGAAAGCCTTTTTCAGAAAAAAAAAAATCTCAAGAGTTCTCAGTAATATCTTTGGTATTACTACATAACTCCTATAAGCCTTACAGACATATACTTATTTTATGCTCTTTTTTAGTAGAAATCGATAATTCTGTTTTCGGTGAGGATAAGATAATAGATACATGCTATGCTTGTAAACTATTAGCACTGTTCTAAAAAGGAAATAAATATAAACTCACAGCTGCTTCCAAGACAGTATATTATTAGGTCTTAATATTTAACTTAGTTTGCTCACCAAAATCGATTTGCTCTTGCTGTTACGACTCCTTCCAGGTGGTTGTCTGCTTTAAAGAAATATGCAATTAAATTAGTTCAGGAATGTTCTATGCCTAAATTATATTTGCTATTTTTATTTTTATTTTGAAGTGCCCTGAAGTGCATCATTTCATTTGGCCTCTGAATGCAATAGCATGGCTTCCCTGCCACGTGTCTCATTTCTCAGAATCTCAGTCAACAGAGAAAGCAACAAGATGATTGAACCTTTTCACTGGAGATGTCTCCTGCACAGATGTTCTCCCCACCCAGATTACCAAACAGAAGCCATGTTTTTGTTGAAAACGATGCATTTCTAGCCTTCCTCAAGGAGTCCTTTAATATCATAGATCCTTTAGCCTTGAGGATGCTTTCTTTTGCCAGAAGCAAAGGTGACAGATTCTATCATTCAAGTAATTTAACCTTATGCTTCTTACACTGATTTTTGACAGATCTTTATTCATACTTAAGGTAAACATTCTCGGGGCACCTGCATGGCTCAGTCGTTTGAGCGTCCAACTTTGGCTCAGGTCATGATCTCACAGTTTGTGGGTTTGTGAGTTTGGGACCCACATCAGCCTCTGTGCTGACAGCTTGGAACCTGGAGCCTGTTTGGATTCTGTGTCTCCTTCTCTCTCTGCCCCTCCCCCCCCCTCAAAAATAAAAAACATTAAAAAAATTTTTTTAAGGTGAACATTCCCAAACTCCATATTCCCTCAAATATTTCAATTTCTTTTCTTTAAGATTTTATTTTTAAGTAATTTCCACACCTAACATGGGGCTTGAACTTACAAATCTGAGATCACAACTCAGCTGTCTGAGCCAGACAGGTGCCCGAAATGTTTCCAATGTTTAAGGCTCATTCCATAATTCTTTACAGGGATTGTTTTTAAACCCCAAACCTCTACCCAACTTAGAATCCTTGAATGATATACGTTTGGATCAGCTTTCTGCTCCTGTGTATAAAGCTGGTGTCTTTTGGTAATATAAATTTCTGAGATTCAATGTGCCCTTCTGCACTTCCTCCCTTAAAAATAAAGGAAATATCACTACAATAAAGCTAAAATTACAGCAGTTATGTGATTGAGTGCACTGTGGCTTCTTCAATTCCTTGCTTTGGCTTGTTTTCTCAGTTTTATCCAAAAACTACATTTTTGTATTTACCACATATACCGTCTTTACCAGGACTGGATGTTCATAGTCAGGATGGGCATGAACCTAAAAGGTGTGACTTCAGAGGCCCCAAGATGGCCACCTTCCTATCACCAAAATGTCCTTCCCTCCATCCCGATTGCCCAATCTCTTCACAACTGCCTGGATGCCTTTTAGCATAGGATAAATTATTTTCCAATGCACAATAAAAAACTAAGTTGGAAGTTCAAACACTCTTACAAAGAATTGCAAACACCATAAAAATTAGAGGCCGTCTGATGTGTAAACTTTGATAGATGACAAGATGTGAAGGCATAGAACACATTCAGGTGAGAGAAACTGGCATTCCATGGACAAAAAAGGGAAGCTGAGGATGAAATTTGCAACCTGCTTCCCATCTTTCCCCTCTTTGAAATCCTTGTGATTTAAATTCTTCTGAAAAGAATAATACTTGCCAGACAGCTTTCCATACTGCTGATAGAAAATCCAAAAAAGCCTTTTGTAGTCAATTTTTGAGAGCATGTAGAAATATTTTGACATTGTAGTTTTTATGTTATGTTATAATTTAGAATCTTTCTTGCCTTCCATATCATGGTCTTATTAGCATTAGCATCACCTCTAGTAGTGAGACCTACATCCTTAAATAATTTAAATATCAGCTATTGCTTTACATTGGGATCTCATAGAACCATACCCCAAAAAATTATAATTTATAAATCTAGAGATATTAATTACTGTTTCTATTGCTAGTGAGTTCTACATTATAGACTAATTAGTATTTATTGATCAGCAATGTCCAAGTAAAAAATAAATGTACCCATCTAATTTTCTGAGTACATGCCTTGTTCATTTTAAGTCTAACATCAAAAAAGATACTGACAGCATCTGAACCCTTTAAAATTAATATTTCATTTTTCTACTTACTATGATTATGATAAAATACATATAGTTAATTTTTTATTCATGAATTTAATATTTTTATATCATAGTATGTATATTCTTGAACATCTAATTTAGAACTCACTTCTAAAAATTATGGTAGATAAGGATTCTGACAGAGACCATGTGGTCCTCAAAGCTGAAAATATTTATTATCTGGCCTTTTACAGGAAAAGTTTGCTAACTCCTGCTATTGACTATCAAAACTTCAGCAATTTAAAAAATCTTTAGTAACTCAGTACATTATTTTTCTATTATCAAGGAAACAATAAAAGTTATACCTCCAGAAAAAGATCATTCAAATTCAAATCTCTGCCTAATCCAACATGACACTGTAAAAATAAACAGCTAATGATAAACATCTAGGATTTTGGACAATACCACAAGTAATTTGTTAGACTTGAGTTTTCTGAAAGCCACCTTTTAATATCGGAGGCAAATTATTTGGTAACTATGATTTTTCACTTTTAAAAAACGTGATTATGGGGGTGACTGGATGGCTCAGTTGGTAGAGCATACAACTCTTGATCGTGGGGTTGTGAGTTCAAGCCCCATTATGGGTGTAGAGTTTACTAAAAAAATATGATTATGAAGTTACCAGACAGGAAATTATAATAGTTTCACATTTAGACAATCCTGTTTAATCCAAACACATAGTGGTGATATATAAAATACAAAGAGAAAATCAAATACACGTAATTAGGATCAAAAGGACAACATGGTTAAGGACTAGAAACAAAGAAACTTGAAACAGATATGCAAAACTCTTACAAAATAAAAATGATTATCAAACTAGGGAAATTTGATAAAGAAAAGTTATCTAATCAAATAATGGTTAAACTTTAAAAGTTTAACCTCCCCCCAGCCCCCCATCAACCCTCAGTTTGAGTCTCTTATGGTTTGCCTCCTTCCCTCTCTGCTTATAACTATTTTTCTCCTTCCCTTCCCCCATGGTCTTCAGTTAAGTTTCTCAGGTTCCACATATGAGTGACAACATGTGATTATCTGTCTTTCTCTGACTTAATTCACTTAGCATAATACCCTCCAGTTCCATTCATGTTGCTGCAAATGGCAGGATTTCATTCTCATTGCCAAGTAGTATTCCACTGTATGTATAAACCATATCTTCTGTATCCATTCATCAGTTGATGGACATTAGGATCTTTCCATAATTTGGCTATTGTTGAAAGCAGTGCTATAAACATTGGGGTACATGTGCCCCTATGAATCAGCACTCCTATATCCTTTGGATAAATTCCTAGTAGTGCTATTTCTGGGTCATACAGTAGTTCTATTTTTAATTGCTTGAGGAACACACTGTTTTCCAGAGCAGTTTGCACCAGTTTGCATTCCCACCAACAATGCAAGAGAGTTCCCATTTCTCCACATCCTCACCAACATGTGTTGTTTCCTGAGTTGTTAACTTCAGCCACTCTGACCAGTGTGAGGTGGTATCTCAGGGTGGTTTTGGTTTGTATTTCCCTGATGATGAGTGATTTTGAGCATCTTTTCATGTGTCTGTGGGCCATCTGAATGTCTTCTTTGGAAGAGTGTCTATTCATGTCTTCTGCCCATTTGTTCACTGGATTATTTGTTTTTTCGGTGTCAAGTTTGGTAAGCTCTTTATAGATTTTGGATACTAACCCTTTATCCAATATGTCATTTCCAAATATCTTTTCCCATTCTGTTTGTTGCCTTTTAGTTTTGTTGATTGTTACCTTTGCAGTGCAGAAGCTTTTTATCTTGATGAGGTCCCAATAGTTCATTTTTTTTTTTAAATTCCCTTGACTTTGGAGACATGTTGAACAAGAAACTGCTGTGGCTGAGGTCAAAGAGGTTGTTGTCTGCTTTCTCCTCTAGGGTTTTGATGGTTTTTTGTCTCACATTCAGGTCTTTCATCCATTTTGAGTTTATTTTTGTGTGTGGTGTAAGAAAGTGGTCCAGGTTCATTCTTCTGCATTTAGTTGTTCAGTTTTCCCAACACCATTTGCTGAAAAGAGTGTCTTTTTTCCATTGGACATTCTTTCCTGCTTTGTTAAAGATTAGTTGGCCATACATTTGTGGGTCCATTTCTGGGTTCTCTATTCTGTTCCACTGATCTATGTGTCTGTTTTTGTGCCAATACCATACTGTCTTGTTGATTACAGCTTTGTAGTAGAGGCTAAAGTCTAGGATTGTGATGCTTCCTGCTTTGGTTTTCTTTTTCAACATTACTTTGGCTATTCGGGGTCTTTTGTGGTGCCTTACAAATTTTAGGATTGTTTGTTCTAGCTTTGAAAAGAATGCTGGTGCAATTTTGATTGGGATTGCATTGAATGTGTAGATTGCTTTGGGTAGTATTGACATTTTAACAATATTTAATCTTCCCATCCATGAGCATGGAATGTTTTTCCATTTCTTTGTGTCTTATTCAATTTCTTTCAGAGGTTTTCTATAGTTTTCAGCATAAAGATCTTTTACATCTTTGGTTAGGTTTATTCCCAGGTATTTTATGGTTCTTGGTACAATTGCAAATGGAATCAGTTTCTTGATTTCTCTTTCTGTTGCTTCATTATTGGTATATAGAAATGCAACAAATTTCTGTACATTGATTTTGTATCTTGTGACTTTGTTGAATTCATGTATCAGTTTTGGCAGCCTTTTGGTGAAGTCTTTCAGGTTTTCCATGTAGAGTATCATGTCATCTGTGAAAAGTAAAAGTTTCACTTCTATTTGGATGCCTTTTATTTCATTTTGCTGTCTGATTGCTGATGCTAGGACTTCCAACATTATGTTAAACAACAGTGGTGAGAGTAGACATTCCTGTCATGTTCCTGATCTCGGGGAGAAAAATCTCAGTTTTTCCCCATTGAGGATGATATTAGCTGTGGGCTTTACATATACGGCTGTTATAATGTTTAGGTATGTCCCTTCTACCCCCACTTTCTTGAGGGTTTTTACTAAGAAATCATGCTGTATTTTGTCAAATGATTTTTCTGCATCTATTGACAGGATCATATGGTTCTTTTCTTTTATTAGTGTGATGTAACACATTGATTGATTTGTGAATATTGAA